CGCGTAAATTACACAGTGCGTGTCTGTGCATGGTGCACATAATTACGCAATGCGTATTTACGCACATGGAGAGCTGAGTGACAAGATGGTTTTTTTGGGGGCAAGCGGGCGCTTCTTATGGTGTTCGAATGGACCCAGTGAGGTGGAGACTACATCTGCTTCGCCCTTAACCCACTAAGCGACAGCTCTTAAAGGGCGAAGCCTATAAGAAATAGAACATTGGCTACGTACTGTAACCCCAGATTTTATGAGTATAGGCGTAGCCCTTTAAGCGTCAGGCGTCACTGGCTCCTAAATGGCTGAGGAAAAAGCTATTTGGGAGCCGATTACCTGCTCTTAACGTAATTTATACGGACCGGGTGGGGCCCAGACAACAGGTGGGCGTGGACTAATTCTTTCATTGCAATGATTTGCATGACGGGATAAACCCACTAAGCGACAGCTCTTAAAGGGCTACGCCTAAACTCATAGAATCTGGGGTTACAATAGGTAACCAACGATCTGAAACATGTTCAACAATTTTTTAATCAGGTGGGGATTTATATCGTTCCAGAGAGACATTTTGACTTTGTGAATGAAATCAAAAGGCCACAAGTTAAAATGATACATGAGAAAAACAAGCTCCCTCCATATACACATCACATCATCCGTAAAACCTACACAAGAAAATTAATGCTTTCGTCCACTTGAAAACATGAAGCTTTGTCTTTGTAAAAACTTAGCATGGTTCTGCTTTCAGATAGAGTTGTCAGAAGTGTCTTTCGAGTATTTATTTTTATAAGTTAAGTTTAGTATTGACATGCTTGTTCAAAATCAAACAATACTTTCTTAGTATATTAAACATAGGGCCTAAGAAATGGCACTTGAGACAGTTAATTTGTGGCTAAAAAATTGCTGAGTTTATTTGTTTTCAGAGACGTCATCTTTCTTCTGTTGCCACAACTTTAACCTCGAAGACTGTTAGGTTTACTTTAGTCTCTTGTAAATTAATAAAACGGCAGTTTAAACTGTGTTTAAACATTCCTCTGCTTTACTTTGTATAAGGATACAGAGGGCCACACTGACATGGCCCTTGGGCCCTATGTTGCTCAAGTGTGTATTAAAGTATTTGACTAAATACATGTATAATGGACCACAAATACAGGCAAGAATAATTTTAATGTCAATGCTAATAATAAAAGTTTCATCATTCTATTTATAGACTAAACTGCAACATTTTACACCTGTATATATGAAAAAAATGTGACTGTGGGTTCCTTTAAGAACATCTGTGTCTACTTGTAGCTCCACATCCATCTATCAGAATTAAATTGTATGCAGCTCGAGTTGGAGCTGCTACAACAGAGCTTTAGGGCCACGTTAAGAAAAAAAAATTATTTAAGCTATAAAATTATAATAATAAAGTGGAAACCGGATTCCAAAAAAGTTGGGACACTAAACAAATTGTGAATAAAAACTGAATGCAATGATGTGGAGATGGCAAATGTCAATATTTTATTCGTAATATAACATAGATGACAGATCAAAAGTTTAATCTGAGTAAATGTAACATTTTAAAGGAAAAATATGTTGATTCAAAATTTCACAGTGTCAACAAATCCCAAAAAAGTTGGGACAAGTAGCAATAAGTGGCTGGAAAAAGGAAATTGAGCATATAACGAACAGCTGGAAAACCAATTAACACTAATTAGGTCAATTGACAACATGATTTGGTATAAAAAGAGCTTCTCAGAGTGTCAGTGTCTCTCAGAAGCCAAGATGGTAAGAGGATCACCAATTCCACCATTGTTGCGCAGAAAGATAGTGCAGCAATACCAGAATGGTGTTACCCAGCGTAAAATAGCAAAGACTTTTAAGTTGTCATCATTAACCGTGCATAACATCATCAAAAGATTCAGAGAATCTGGAACAATCGCTGTGCGTAAGGGTCAAGGCCGTAAAACTCTACTGGATGCTCGTGATCTCCGGGCCCTTAAACGTCACTGCACCTCAAACAGGAATGCCACTGTCAAGGAAATAACAGAATGGGCTCAGGAATACTTCCAGAAAGCATTGTCAGTGAACACAATCCACCGTGCCATCCGCCGTTGGCAGCTGAAACTCTACAGTGCAAAGAGGAAGCCATTTCTAAGCAAGCTCCACAAGCTCAGACGTTTGCACTGGGCCAGGGGTCATTTAAAATGGAGTGTGGCAAAATGGAAGACTGTTCTGTGGTCAGATGAGTCACTATTTGATGTTCTTTATGGAACACTGGGATGCCATGTCATCCAGACTAGAGAAGACAAGGATAGCCCAAGTTGTTATCAACGCTGCGTTCAGAAACCTGCATCACTGATGATATGGGGTTGCATGAGCCCTTGTGGCATGTGCAGCTTGCATGTCTGGAAAGGCACCATTAATGCAGATAACTACGTTCAGGTTCTAGAACAACATATGCTCCCAGCTAGACGTCATCTCTTTCAGGGAAGACCCTGCATTTTTCAACACAATAATGACAGACCACATTCTGCAGCAATCACAACATCATGGCTACGTAGGAGAAGGATCCGGGTACTGAAATGGCCAGCCTGCAGTCCAGATCTTTTACCTATAGAGAACATTTGGCGCATCATAAAGAGGAAGGTGCGACAAAGAAGGCCCAAGACAATTGAACAGTTAGAGGCCTGTATTAGACATGAATGGGAGAGCATTCCTATTTCTAAACTTGAGAAACTGGTCTCCTCTGTACCCAGATGTCTGTTGAGTGTTGTAAGAAGAAGGGGGGATGCCACACAGTGGTAAAAATGGACTTGTCCCAACTTTTTTGGGATTTGTTGACGCCATGAAATTTGGAAACAACAGATTTTCCCTTAAAATGATACATTCTCTCAGTTTAAACTTTTGATCTGTGATTTGTGTTCTATTCTGAATAAAATATTAGTTGTTGGCACCTCTACATCATTGCATTCAGTTTTTATTCACAATTTGTTTAACGTCCCAACAGTTTTGGAATCCGGTTTGTAGAATAAAGTCTTAATATTAAGAGAATAAAGTCACACAAGACTTTTTTTTTGCAGCTTTTGTTTATTCATATATTTTTTTCCATGAGTCAGATCCACGATGCGACCAGTCAATCAATCCAGTAGACATGTCAGCAAATGACCAATCCGAAACTAAATGAGTCATAACATTATCCGAACTGGAACACAATAAAGCAGGGTTTACCGCATATTAACAGTCGTAAAATGAAGAATGTTGAGCATCTTGTTAAGTTATGCGTTGGTATTGGTTTTACAAATAAGGAGACACTTAATCTGTTAGCACAGCATCAGATTATTATCAGTATCAGGACTTTGAACCTGCTTAAAGTAAGGTGGTAGCTCTGAAGGAGCATTTAGCTTCAGATTGGTCATTTGCTGACACGCCAATTGGATTGATTGTCAGGTCGCGTCGTGGATCCAATTCGTGGAAAAAAAATAAATAAATAAACGAGAGCTGCAAAAAAAAGTCGACTTTGTTTGACTTTATTCTCAGAATTTTATGGCTTTTTTTTCTTAGCGTGGAAATGTAATTAATTGTTTTTCTTAACGTGGCCCTAAAGCTCCGTCGTAGAGCTGCAGTTATTTGTGAGAAGAAAAAAATAAAGATCAGTAGGACTGACACAAATCTGAGGGGACAGAGGCGATGTCAGTATGTGTGTTAAATTTCTAAATTTCTGATAGTAAACTTGATATTTAGATTCCTGGACCCCTTTTAAATTTTTAAAGCCAAAACATGGTCACATTTTACTTTTTATAGTTTAGTGTCCTCATAGGTAAACTCCTAAACCGATGTCCTTGTGTTGTGATAAAAACAAGTATGTGTGTCAATGTTTTCAGGTCCTGATGTGAGCTGTGTAACATAATCTTAGCTGGAAAAAATAAACCTGCAGTAAATCTCCAGAAGGTTGACTTGCTCTACTGACTGATTTAAAGTGAACGCACAGTTCAGGCCTGTTCCTGAGCCTAGAAACCATTGTCAAGTGTTTTTACCGGTACAATTTGGTTGCACTCCAGGTCAGAGAACAGGACGTGATTTTTGAAACTGGTGGGTTTTAGATGTGATTAAAATGTGGCAAAGTGCGATCAAAGAGAACAGCTCCTCCTTCCTCATTAATATGTGTCCTGAAAGTAAAATGTAAGGAATAATTTATGTTTTCAGTGTGACTCAGTTTATTTATTTATTTATTTATTCTCGCTCCCCCCCCCCTCATTTGTAGATGATCTACAAATGCGTGTGGATGTGTCGAAGCTTGGCAGCACTCAGACTGAATTATGCGGAGCTGCGTCGGAGAGCTGGAGCAGGCTGTAATCAGGACTGTGAACTTTCTGGTAGCACCCATGAACGGTGGAATAATCTTGGAGAAGCTGTAAGCTCGACTTTCGGTTTTAAGACTTTAAAATGCACTTTGTCTGTTTCCTCACCTCTCCCTTCCCCAAGGCCATGGACATGGGACAGAACCTCAACCGAGCTGATGATAACAAACACCTCTTATTTGGACAATGGCTGAGGGGGTCTCTGGACTATGCTACGGCCTTCCCTTAAAATTCAATGCCTTCACCGGCTTATATGTACCATATCTATTTATGTTGCTTTGCTGTGGTAGGTTTTTTTGATGCCTCAAACTGTGCCCTATCTAGGACATGGTGTGAGAGATATTTTTTAATACCTTATCTCCTCATGTTTTCTTCCTTTTTCTCATCTAAGCAAAACTATTATTCGGAATAAGAGGGCTGCACTAATTAGCAGCAGCTTTGTGCACTCAGTCCATCTTACAGACGGCTGTACGTACATGTTCTCGTTGTATCTCGGTGCAAAGACAATAAAGCTTATTCTGATTCTGACTCCAGGTGGTCATTTGTTAGTAAGTGTTATTGAAGGAAAATAGTTTCTTCCTCATCTGCTGCACCATCAGTTATTTGCTGCAGCTCAGACATGATTCATCTTTTACAAAGTTGCTTTTCTTACTAAACAGATCGTACCTTCAGAGCAGCCGTCGTCACTGCTGACACTCAGCTTCTCTGCATTGCCCTGAATGTATTTGTTGTAGAGTTTGATCCTGAGTGCCCAGCTCAGGTCCGGCTGCCTCACTGTGTTCTTCAGTCGCCTCCTGGCATTAGCAAACCAGTTGGACACCTGAGGGAAGGAGAGAAGGAGCAGCACATCAGGAAGAGTAGAATCCAAACTCTCTCCTCAGTCAAAATGCTTTGCCACAAGTCTCATTGAGGAAACAGTAAAAACAAGGAGGGCTGACGCAGGAGACACGAAGAGTCAGGCTGAAGAGAAACTCTGAAAGTGAGACATCCAAGATGCTCCTAAGAGATTTCCAAGATGTGTTTCTTTTCTGTGTCAACGCTGAGCAGAATCAAATGCCAGATAGGCAATGAACGCATCATTTCCTTCACTAATGCTCTGAGATGCTTGTCCCCTTCGTGTGCTTATTCTGACATGTGAAGTCTCCCTCCAACAACACGTGTTCTTTCCAGCACCATCTTCAAAATGCAATAAGACACTGAAGCCGATGCTCTTCCTGTCACTGAGAGAGGAGACTATTAGATGTTCTACTGGAATAACTTCATGCTCAATAAGTTTCAAGCAGCTTATGACAGAGCAGAGATGGGGGCGGGGGCACATGTTAGAGTACTTAGTTTTTAGATTCTGTCTTTCAGTATCATGTGTCTCAGTAATGCCCCTTTTCCATTAGTACCGGTACGGGCCGACTCGACCCTACTTGGCCCGGTTCTGAGGCTTTTCCATTAGTACCGGTACTTAGCACCTGTTACTATTTTCAGTACCCATGGCTCTGTGGTTCTAACCGGTACGAAGAGGCACAAAAACGTGACGTCAGAACACTGTCGGTCACTGATTGGTAGGGGGTGGAGTCACTGGATCCTTCAGAAACGTTTCAAAACAATAATCCGCCATTTGCAATTTCTCGGAGTGGAGCAGCGGCTGGACTTATTTTAAAGATTTTAAAAACAATACTGACAACATCTTGGTCTAATGTTGATGTGCTGGCATTTTTTGTGCTTGGTGGCCGACAACATAATTCAGAGCAAGCTGGATGGAGCTCTGCTGGTGTACCCCGATCCTCCCTCCGGAGCCTCCAGCGCCAGACCTGGCAGGGCGTCATCTCCCCGGCTCCAAGTTCAGCTGGTCACCGCGGAAGATCCTTCGATGTGCCGACTCGGAGGCTCGGGTTCCGGATACCAGCCTTGTGTGCTCAGAGCTCCGCAGGTCACTGCGAAGCTGGAGATGGGGACTCGCAGATGGCCGTTGCCAGACCCCGGCCGCGCGTAATCATGAAGGCTGAATCCCGATCCCACCCGGCAGTCAGGCGGACTGGACAGTCTAGGACGGACGCTGGAAGCGATTTTTAAATAAAATAATATTTTGTTTTTATACAAAAAATGTTTAAAAAAATTGCTGAAGCGATTTAAAAATGATTATTATTTTTTTACACGTAAAATGTTTTTTAAAATCGCTTCTACCGTTCGTCGCAGACCCGTCTCTGCCCGCCTGTCTGCGCGGGTCGGACCTTCATGATTACGCGTGGCTGGGGTCTTGGAACAGCCTCTGTGAGTCACCAGCTGAGCTGGAGCTGGGAGGATGAGCCTCCTCTGAGACCAGCAGAGCGTTGAAGATTAAAAAAAAAAAAAAACTGTGCCAGCTTCATCATGAAATCCTGTTTTCACTTTAATGACTGTTAACTCAGCTGAAAATCATAAAGACACAAAACTATTGGATCTCAGGATTATTTCCCTCAAACATGTTTAAAGAAGAGACAACATTCAGTTCAACTTTATTTTAACTCACAAATGTACAAATCACAAAACCAGAACTTTAAAGCAAAGCTAAAAATAAAATGTATATATGTGAACAAGAAAGGAAACCACACATTTAAAATGAACATTAAAAGTAGACACAGTGAGTGCAAATACATCAAATGATGATGAAAACCTATAAAAATTTAAATGTAATGTTTTTGTAGAATCTGGTTCATCAGAGTTTTAATTTATATACATATATATATATATATATATATTTATATAAATAAATATATATAGATATGTGTATATGTATATATATAAATACATATGTATGTATATAAATATATATGAATATATATAAATACATATGGATATATATAAATACATATATATGTATATAAATATATATGAATATATATAAATACATATATATGTATATAAATACATATGTGTATATATATACATATATATATATACATAAATGTGTGTATATACATACGTGGGGTTTACCATTTGATATATATATATATATATATATATATGTATGTGTGTGTGTGTGTGTATATATATATATTAGGGGTGCACCGATAAATCGGCCGGCCGATCGATCGGCCCCGATTTCCTTAATTTGGGGAGATCGGCGATCGGCCGATCTTTAAATGAGAAGCCGATTTTATCCACCGATCTTATCTGCCTCCGGAAAGGTCTGAAAATCAGCTGCTGTCCCCTTTTGCTCCACTGTGAGAGCTCACACACAGGTCACTCGGAGCAGCCATGTCGTCGGTTTGGAAGTTCTATGCTGTAAAAGAAAATGAGCTAAAGATCGCAATTTGCAATTCGTGTAAAGCCGAAGTAAGTCGTGGTGGAGCCACCACCAAAACCTTTAATACAACAAACCTCGTTCGCCATTTAAGAAATCACCACGCCGCCAAGTATGCAATGTTTGAAGAGAGCAACCAAGCTAAGGCTAATGCTAAAGCTAGCGCTAACAAAGAGCCAGTCGTTGGGCCGTTGTTTGCTTTTATGAGCAACGAAAAGAGCAAAGCTACCACGAGGAAAATGATGGCGTTCATGGCATTAGACGACCAGCCATTTTCAGTCGTTGAGGACAAAGGTTTTAGAAGCTTGATGCAGCACGTGTGCCCACGATATAATATGCCGAGTCAGAAATATTTTTCTGATGTTGCATTACCTGAGTTGTTCAGCCAAGTTTCGAGAGACACCCGCAGCCTGCTAAAAGCTAATACAAATACACTCAGCTTTACAACAGACATCTGGACTTCTGATGTAAGTTTAATGTCCATGTTAAGTTTTACTGCACAGTGGATTGACGAACAGTTCGAACGTCATCAAGTACTCTTAAACTGTAAAGAAATGGCGGGGTCTCACACTGCGGCCAATTTATCAGCAGAGTTTAAGGCGATGCTGAATCACTGGGAAATCGATAATGGAAGAGTTCACGTTGTTTTACGGGATAATGCTCGTAATATGGCCAAAGCGCTGGATGATATCAACCTGAAAAGTTTACCCTGCCTGGCACACACACTGCAACTGGTTGTAAATGAGGGACAGCTGGCGCAGCGCAGCATCACAGACATGGTGGCAACAGGAAGGAGAATTGTTGGACATTTTAAGCATTCATCACTTGCCTATTCCTGACTTTATGACATACAGACACAGTTAGGTCAACCCAGGAAACGATTACAGCAAGACGTTTCAACGAGGTGGAACAGCACAGTCTACATGCTGCAGTCGCTGTTGGAGCAGAGACGTGCTATTGGCGTGTATGCTGCTGAGCATGAGTTACAAGCCACACTCACAGCACACCAGTGGGAGCTACTGGACAATGTGCTCACCATTCTTGCACCTTTTGAGGAACTCACAAAGGAGATTAGCTCATCAACAGCTACAGCAGCAGATGTCATCCCAGCCATCACTGCACTCAAGCAGATTTTGGAGAGGCAATCGAGCACAGACCGTGGCGTGGGTACAGCCAAAGCTACATTGATGGAGGCTGTTGTGAGAAGATTCAGCAACATTGAGCATGAGCCCCTGTACAGCTTGGCCACTGTTCTGGATCCAAGGCAAGTAACTATTAACATTCTATTTTAGCCATAATTACTTTTAGCCTACTACTATATTTCAACAAACATTTCAATTAAATTAAAAATAAAAATTTCTTGATTGAAATGCATTTCTTTATTTACATGCAAGTCATAAAAACTGTTAATGTATACAAAACACAATGATTGACCCCTCTTTCTTTGTTTATGCAAAACAAGGTACAAGAATCGCTACTTCTCAGCAGAGGTGAAAGATGATGTGAAACTGCTCCTTTTGACCAAACTTGCAGAGGGGGAGACCAGATGCACACCTGCTGCAGGAACATCCTCTGAAGTGGGACCTCCTGATATCGATGAACCTGCAGCCAAAAGGCGTAGTCTACTGTTTGCAGCTCACGACGAAATCTTGAAGGAGAACATTGAACAGGAGCAACAGCTGGCCAGCCCTTCAGCTATGCAGGTACAGAACTACCTATCTGAGGTTCCTGTCGAAAGGAGCCAGGACCCATTGGTCTACTGGAAGATCAATGAAAATCGTTTCCCTCATCTTGCTCTACCTGCCCGAACCTATCTCTCTGCCCCATGCACAAGCATTGAAAGCGAGCGCCTGTTTAGCTTGGCTGTGTTAGGATTTGTGTCAGGAGCGAACCCAGAGTGTAGAACAGGGACTCAACTCAGCAGATATACAAAAATAGGTTTTTAATGATAAATGAAAAGTACAAAATAAACGAGCTGACGGGGCAGCAAAACTTACATAAACAAGGAAGGAGGCGCGGGGAACTCAGGAGACACGGGGAACTCGAGGGACCAGGAAGACAAGGAGAGACTCAGGAGACCCAAGGAAGCATACCCAACGAAGACGACCCGACGAAGAACAAGACAGAATAGGATGGC